CCGTGGAAGCCGAGACGGCGCGGGAGAGCGCGGCCAAGGAGCTCGAGCGCACGGCACCGTTCGAAAAGGAGGTCAAGGAGAAGAACCTTCTCATCGGCAAGCTGCGTCACGAGGCCATTGTGCTCAACGACCACCTCACCAAAGCCCTCCGCTATCTCAAGAAGACCAAACCCGAAGACAATGTTGACAGGTATGCTGTTCACGGATTTTGCTCATATGTTGATCCGTAGCTGACGCTTCCCCCCTTCAGACAAGTCGTCACCAACCACTTGCTCCACTTCCTCACCCTCGACCGCTCCGACCCCAAGCGCTTCCAGATCCTCCAGGTCATGGCCGGCTATCTCGACTGGACCGACGAACAGCGCGAGCAGGCCGGCCTCGCCCGGCCGGGCACCACCTCCGGCAGCAGCCTGCTCCGCCTCCCCGCCTCCCCCTTCCACCGCACGCCCAGCACGCCGTCCCTGAGCGCCGAATTCTTCACCGACACGACGTCGGGCACTGCCGCCAACAAGGAGTCGCTCGCCGATCTCTGGACGGGCTTCCTCGAGCGGCAGGCCCAGGAGGCGCTGAGCCCAGACGCCGACGGCAGCGAGAGGAAGGGCAGCGTGAGCAGCGCGGCGAGGTCGGAGAGGGGCTCATAGCAGCATCATGACACTGGCGTGAGAGTCCCTTCCCCAGGGAGCGCCGCCACGCAGAAGGTGTAGGAGAAGAAAGCGCTGTTTTGTTGAGGGTGTGAAGAGCAAGAAGAGAAAAATACTTGAAATGTTCCCGTGGTAGGGACACCCATTACATGGCGTTGCGTGCTTTTCGGTAGACGCAGGGGAGGCCGTTCAGCCGGGGTCAGGTCAGGCAGGGAGCGAGATGATGGCCGCTCGGTGTGCATCACATTGGTACGGCAGGGTGAAGGATCACGAAAGGCGCGGAGGGGTGGCGGCAATTGACCAATGAATGCAACGAGCCATGCTCTCTAGAGCCATGCTCTCTATCTCATCGCCTGTCTTCTAAAACAGATTTTGTGACTCCAGTCACCCTTTCTCTGCCGTAACACGTCCGTGATGAATGCACGGATCTGGCCTTTTGTTTTCTCAACCAACCATCGATACAGGCGCCTCCTCCTCGGCCTGCAGCACGCTCCTCGCATACTCCTCGGCATCCCTCTCGATCCTCTCGATATCAACGCGTCCGCTGCCGATCGCATCGTTGACGCCCTCGACGACCTCCCTCTCCTCCATGACCTCGCCCATGATGCGCACCTCGTGCGCCCAGTAGCCGGACTGCCTGCTCCTCAGGCCCTCATCCCGCACGCCGGCGTTGCGGACGATGCCAAACGCCGTCATCTTGCTGCGAACCGTGGCGAGCGCGCGGTTGACGCGCTCGAGCCGCGCGGCGGCGGGTGGCGGCGCGGCAAAGGCCCTGTTCGTGGAGGAGAGGTACAGGGCGGCGGCGAGGGCGAGGTCCAGGGCCGCCAGGGCGACGAGGCGCAGGGAGCGGGCCGTCCAGTGGAAGGTGTCGATGTCGCCGAGGCGCAGGGCGGCGGCGTTGGGGCGCGGGTTGTAGGCCGTGACGAGGTAAACGTCGAGGGCGGCGAGGGCGGCGGAAGCCACGGTGACGGTGGTTCGCCAGGGGGGGCCGTGAGGGCCGGCAAAGGGGCGGGAGGCGGCGGCGGCGAGGGCGATGAGGTTGAGGAGGTGCGGCGCGACGATGGCGGGCAGGGCGTAGTAGGCGTAGGATTTGGGGTCGTCGGAGCGGCAGAAGGGGCAGTCTGCGATGACGGCGGGGCCGAACTGGAAGTAGAGCAGGCGAGACTCGAGGTTGACGAACCGGGCGCGCAGTGCCTCGTCGCGGGGCGTTAGGATGTTGGCGGGCCGCAGGACGGCGAGGCGGTTGAAGAGGACATCGACGGGGATCTGCAGGCGGGACTGCGTCAAGGCGAAGATGTTCTCGGGGGCGAAGAGCGGCGTCGCCTTGACGACGAGAAGGAAGGCGAGGAAGGAGAGGAAGAAGATGGTGCGCAGCGCCGGGCGCGTGACGGGGCGGATCGGGAGAGCGGCCTGGGCGCGGGCCTTTTTGAGGTTCTGGTAGTAGGCATAGGCCTTGGGGAGGAGAATGGGGCCAAAGAAGATGACCAGGGAGCGGACGCTACGGGGCAAGCGTTAGTTGGTCCCAACACAGTTCATGGTAAAGACGTAGACATACTTGGCCCAGGTGAGAGACATGATGGCGGTGTTTGCTCGTCGAACCGAGCTTTGCGGGTAGCGAAGTCTAATCCGTGGGGGGAGAAGGACGAACGCGGTCACAGGATGGGAAACTTGGCCTTGTCCACGCTGGAGCGAACAGGTGTCGTGGAAGTCGCGTGAGCGTGAGGCTGACAAAGTGACGTACATTTGTGGCGCCGTAAGGCTGAGCTAGAGCTGGGAGGGTGGCTTACATAATGATCCTTGCCAGCCTCAGTTCTGTTGTTGCATCCCAGCGATGGTCAAGAGTCAACTCCATTTCACGCAAAGGCCCAAATGCAAAAGTCAATACCCAGTATGATCCGCTAACGCCTAGGTCCATGTCTATGCCATCTACGAGTTTTCAAACCCTCACACGCTCTCCGCATACCCGTCGCTCTTGGCCGGCGCCTGCGGCTGCTTCTTCTCAAACAGCTTCTTGCCAAGCTTGTCCGTCGCCTGATCAGCCTTCTCCCCCAGGAACGTCTTGAAACAGCCATACGCGCCAGAGACGGCCCAGAAGATGGCATTGACAAGGTCAACCCACACAGCCGTCTTCATGGCGCCCGTGCTGGCCCCCTTGTAAGGGTCATCGCTGTCGCGTCCGAGAAAGATGCCAGCCATGATGCCAAAGACGACGATCCACGCAACAAACAGCGTCGCGTCCCACGCAAAGGCGCGATACGTCTTGAACATCTTGATGCGGCTGCCGACGACGGGGATGGCGCTCAGCGGCGCCGCCGCGAGGAAGGCGACGGCCGTGACGGCCGACAGGCCGCCGACGATGACGGCGAACAGCCACTCGGGCGCGAAGCCGCCGCTGCCGTCGGCGTCGGCGTCCTTGCGGTCGGCGTCGACGCGGTGGCCGTAAAAGCCGCACGCGATGAGCGCAAAGACGAACTGCAGCGCGCGGCAGACGAGGCGCGGGATCACCTCGAACGTCTTGAGCCACGTCTTGCCGACGGCCTTGCCCGTCTCGGCGCCCTCGCTGAAGGCGGCGTGGCCGGCCTGGCGGCCGAGGTCGCGCTTGTCGGCGGCGCGGAAGTCGGAGGCGGCGTTGGCGAGGCCCTGGGCGTTGCGCGTCAGTTCGATGGCCGTCTGGCCAGCTTGCATGGCCTGTCCGAATTTGCCCATTGTGTTTTAGGTAGAATGCCGAGGCGGGAAGTAGAAATAGGAAGGAATGGCGGGAATCAAAACTCTGGCTTGCTGTGAATCTGTAGAGGCTGATGGAATGCGGAATGATGCAACAATGCAGGCGCTGGGTCTAAGCTGTTGTCCCGGGGTATATATGCGACTGCCCTGCAGTATGATGATGACTTAAAGAAAGAGTCAAAGGAAACAAGACAACAAGAAGAAGGCTCGGGCGTTAGAGGAGCGGTCGCAGTGAATGAATGAATCACAAGACTAAGAAACACAATAAGACGCTGCCAGAAGACCATTCTTTATACCACTTTCAGTACCTCCTCGAAGCAAACAGCCCTTTAATGCGGCAAGCCGCTCAGCGGACGAGGCCTGATTCACCAAGCGCCGGACCAAGCGAACCTCTCGCGCGCGCCGGGCCGGGCTGTTGCCCAGACCGGATGCTTCGCAGCCAACCAGGCCCTGGGTTCGAAGAGCGAGAGGCATGCCCTGCGAAGAGGCGCCCACCCGGCTGACTGGCTGCCAGTCGATCGCCAGCCGTCTGCCGTCGGAGACCCCTGTCGCGGGCGAGGCGCTTAGCGAAACCTCATTGACGAACGACCACACCCAATGAAATCCGGGACGTGCCAGCTCCATCAGGCATTGAACGAGAACTGTATTTCGAGGTATATAAATATCGCAAAGTGAAAACGACCATCAATTAGTGGAATGAGTAAATTGAGAGAAGCCTCGATCATCATAAAAAGGCTGGGCCTGCGGCACAGTCGCGAGCCCAATGACTGCGCAAGATGCCAAGCAACCTGCACTCTTTTCTGCACATCTGACTGGGATACTGAGAAGCACCCCAGACATCTCGTAGCAGCGAGAGCGTCGCTTCCAAGTTGTCCAGGCACTCTATCAAGCATTCAATCCGCATGCAAGCCACGTCTGTCAGATCAGTCACATCAGGCCCAAAGTGGAGACGTGTTGCAGCCCCTGCTTGTCCTTAAAGCGGCGCACCCAGGGTCCAGTCATGGCAGGTTGGCAGGGTCCGCGTCTCCTAATGCAGTGCCAATGACGACACAGTGACAGCATCCCTGCTCGCATCCGCATCCGCACCTCAACGTCCATCAAGATCACCAGCAAAGCTTTTGAATGTCACATGCAATGCAGTGTACAGCAGCGATATGCTAATGGTTGATCATTTGTGCGAAACAGTGCATCATCCTCAGACGACTCTGCCCAGACTAAATAGCGTACAGGAAACAGAGAAACTTGTCCCAATCAAGTAAAAAGAAATAGAGGAGAGATGATCAGATGCCAACTCGGTCATTTCGACCTGCCGCCCATCCCAATGCAATTCGTCGTGTCGAGGTATTTCTGCTGCCCTTTTTCGCTGTCCATGCCCCTGGATATACTTTTGAATCTCCCAAACACCAGAAGAAAAGCCAATCCCAATAACAAATGGGAGCGTCCACATGAACGACTTCCCTGAAGAAAATGACAAGAATCGAGCCAAATCACGGCTTGCCTCGCTGCGCTGCGCTGTGCTGTGTCGTGCCATACCCATTCCATCACCCATCACCCATGCTGCTCATCAAGCAAAATCAAAAAGCAATATCCAACAATGCAACCGCTGAATCGTGAAAGGGGTATCGCAGACCAAACTCAGAGCTTTCGGCCAAACATGAAAGAGCCGTACATGCCGCCGACATCGGCGCGCGCCACGGGAATCTTCCGCATGCCCCAGTGGTCGGCGCCCATCTTCCACCAGCGGTGTCCACGGTCGCCGTCCTTGTGCAGACGCACCATCCAGTTTTTTGCTGTTTTTTCTCCTGCAGCGTCCACCCGATGCGTTCGAGCGTCTTGTTGCGCGACAGGGGCTTGAACGACTGCTCCGACACCTCAATGACCTCGAGCGGGTTCGACGTTGCCTGCAGCAGGTTGCACTTTCTTCGAGAAGAGATCGACGAGGTCGAGCCTCACTGCCCCAGAGGTCCGAAAAGTCAACGTAGCGCAGGGCCGCAAGGCTCCCTCGGGCTCCTCCTCCCCGGTCTCGGCATCGCCTGCGTCGGTCATCTGAGTGTCCTCTTCGTCCTTCTCCGCCGGCACAAACAGCTTCGACGCCGCCATGACGCCCAAGTTGCGTCCAAAAGCGAGCTCCTCAAGGTGCTTCGTCAACGGCCGCAGCAGCTCAATGTGCGACTCCTCCATGCGGCTGCCCTTCAGGCTCAGCGACCGCAGCGTATTGGGCAGGACGGGGAGCAGGGTGCTGACATCTTCCTGGGCCAGCAGCTGCTGGCTGCGTGCATCGGTGGCCACGCTGAGGAACACCAGAGTGTGTCGGACGGCAGGGTGCTCGGCGAAGAATCGGATAACATTGGGCGCCGTCAACAGCGTGCACTTGGCAATGTTGAGGTGCGTGATGCGGGCCGTGTGAGGAATCGACCAGAGAGCCTTGTCGGTGACCTTGGTCTGGGCGAGGTCGAGGTGAGTCAGGTTGACGAGGCGGGGGAGGATCGTCTCAAAGACGGCCGACGGCAGGGTCAGACACTTGTGGAATGACAGGCGGGTGATCGACATGGTCTCAGGCCACTCCATGGACACGAGCGAGTTGAAGGAGGCGCGGAACGAGGGCGACGTGCAGCCGGCAAAATCGAGCGCCTGCAGTCGAGGTAGGTTGAAGAAAAGCTTCTGGAGCACTTCGGAGCTGAGGTCATCGTCAATGTGCTCCATGGCGAGGAACTCTTGGAGGTGCGGTGTGAGTTGGAGGCATTGCAGTAGGGTCTCGGAGGTCAGGTTGCGCGTCGTCTTGCGCTCGCTGGCCGTCTCGAAGAGGGTCGAGTTGTTGAAGTGGCTAAAGTCAAGTCGTCGGGTAATGGTGCCGAGGGACGGGTGTTCGGTGGTGTTGGCGAGGAACTTGCGGAAGATTCTCGAGTGGGGGATGGTGATGTTCCTGTAGAGAGCATTGAGGGTCGCGCCGTGCATGGTCCTGGAGGTCAACAGCAGAGACATGAGATCGACATTGCGGCGGGTGACGCCGTTTGGCGGGGGCACATCGAGCACGAGGAGCTCAATAATGGAGCCTGAGGTGGTCAGCACACGTGCGAGGGACGGACGGCAGCGAAGCCAGGGGAACAAGAATCGCAGAACATACCGAGCAGCTCGAGAGGTAGCTTCTCAATGGGCGCGCTACCGAGACCAAACTTGCTCTTTCCCTTGGACGGTGCTGGCGGGGTGCTCCATGCCATGTGCAGGGCTTGGAGGTCACCAAAGCTGCGACTCGCCGTCTTCCCCTTGACGTTGATCTGCTTCCATCCCTTGAAGTTGTTGGCGGGGAACCAGTTGCCATGCAGCCTGCTGTTGGGCAAGGTGACGGGTGGTAGGAACTGAACCTCACCCATATCGATGGCGGGAGGCGAGGGAGTTGGCGAATCGTCAAGGATGGCGTTCTCGTGAGCAGTGGCGTAGGAAGAGACCTTGGAGGATGTAAAGGTCTGGGCTGGACCACAGCTGTCTTCACGGATAGATGAAAAGGAGGAGCGTCCGTGCTGATCCGGGGTCGAAGGACGGCGGAGGAGCTCTGGGCGGTCGACATCCATTTTGTATTTAGGTTGAGGCTTCTGCTGGAGGGGTCGAGCGTGGCCAGCGGAGGGGGCGTGGCTCTGAGAAGCCGACGCGGTGGTCATGCTGGGCCCGGGGGGTGGCAGTTCGGGGCGTGGTACAGGGTGTGAGCGTGAGGGAGGAGGCAGAGAGGAGAGAGAGAGAGAGAGGAAAGAGCAGAGTAGACCGAGATGGAGATCAAAAAGTAGGAAGCTTTTGCTATTCGTCCGAGAAGGCCGACCTTTTAGGTAAGAAGAAGAGGTCGTGCTGCGGGGAAGGAGGTTTGTTGGTGTCAAAGGAATTCCAGAAGACACGGATAGTGGTGAGGTGGACGTGACGGTGGTGGTGGTGGTGGTGGAGGAAGAGGAGAAGGAGCCTCTTCTGGCCGGTAGGTGACACGAGATTTCGAGTGTGGTAGAAATGACGAGACGGGCGAGTTGAGTTAAAGGTAAGTCAGAGACGTGCTTGACGCAACCGTTGAGCAAACCAGGTGATGCGGGAGGCGACAGGCGGACTAAGTAGTAGTCGAGTAAGGTAGGTAGACAGGTGGGCAGGCAAAAGGTAGGTCGGTACGCAGCTCGGAGGAATGCAGGAGATGGGCGGGGGCAAAGCAGAAGGGGACCAAACAGGGTTGTGGTATGTGGAAAGCTCGGCCGGGGATGGAGGGTTAGGATGAATCAAAGGATGGGGATGGGGATGGGGAGAGGACCACGTCTTGTCAGGGCCAAAAGTCAATATCGGCAAGGTCTTGGAAGGCTTGTCGAACTGGGATTTTTTTTTCAGGTGCCTCGACTCATCCGAGAGATCCTGTGTAAATGGGATCAAGTACTAGACGAGAATGGCAAGTCGCCTCACGGTTGGTTGTCAGTTGATCAGGCACGATGACTGACTGACTGACTGACTGACTGACTGACTGACTGACTGACTGACTGACTGACTGACTGACTGACTGACTGACTGACTGACTGACCGGATCTCCATGGAACAAGGGTGGCACTGATGGCCCTGTGAGAGAGGTCAAAGCTGGCCTGTGTGAGAGGCCAAAGCTGGCCCGTGTGCGAAAACAACGCCGTCAGGGTGCACAGGGGGGAGACTCTTTCACCGGCCCGCATATTGACACCACCAGGCGAGGGCCGACGCTGGAGATGCTGAAGTTTCTCTTTGGCAAAGATTGGGTAATGGAAACCAAGGGATGGCCACTCGATCATGGTCACATGAGCCTTCTTGGCATTGACTCCAGCCATCGAGATGACCAGACACTTGTTTGAACCGGGCCAGCGCGCGAGCAAATTGCCGGTCTCACCACACCTGACATGAATGGCGACAGTCGTGCAGTCCAAGGGGGGTGTGTGTGTGTGTCGTGTCGCGACGTTGCGATGTTGCGATGTTGCGATGCTGCGAGTTTCGTGTTGGGTAATGAGAATTGCGATGCTGCTCAATTGGGGGGATTGGGGAGATGGCATCGGCGACTTGGGGTCTCTGCAGTGCAGCCAGCGTTGCAGCACAGCAAGGCACACAGGAACCTACCTGTGCCTTATACAGTAGTACCTTGGGTACGTCCAGCAGAAGAGCCCACTGATTGCATCATCGCTGTCAGAATGGCACAGTGCTGTACATAGTCATGTCACCTCGCCCTCCCAGCACGCGGCTGCCTTGCCCTGCTGCGGCGTCCCCTTCTCACTGGGGTGGGCGGAAGAAGCCCAGGCCAGGAACGGCCACCTCGCCTCACCTCATCTACCTGTACCCAGTTACCCAACCTCACCACCGCATCACCCTCCAGCGTCCGAGCTCCAGAACATCGTGACCCAAGACAACCAGCAACTTCGCCCAGCTCGTAACTCCGCGAACACTCGGATATCCTCAACATGTCTCTCCGTCGTCGGACCGCCCCAGCCACGGCCGACAACGGCACTTGTCGTGTCTTTCGGCTGCATAAGTTCACGAACGAGTTGGACTGACGGACCGGCAGCATTACTCCCTTCTTATGCATCCCTTTGGACAAGACGATGGAACGGCGCCAAGCACGAACAGACGACTTGCCAGACAGGGCACAGCGCCTGCGCGTGGGTTGATCATGTGAGGTGAAGAGGTGGTGTTTCGCAAACGTAATTGATGCAGGCTACGACTAATGAAAACTGCTTGGGCTCGAGAGTGCCAGGCGCTGCTTGGAGCTGGCCCCGTGCGACACGACAAGAGCCGTCTCTTCTGCCACATGACGACGCCTGACGTGAAGGGGATGGCGGGCTCGATCGGCAGGTTCGTCGGGGCGAGTTTGGCCATGCCCCTTGCCAATGCTTCATTCAACAGCCATTTTTGTGACGATGCGACCTTGGTGACCGTGGACCGCAAACGGTCGAGATCAACAGCTTGCTCAGGTAAGCTGCCAATGGCACTTCAAGGGGGGATGACAGCGCCAGCACAGCAGTCAGCGTACTGTACGCACCACCTGATCGCTCGCTGCGAGGCGAGGGCCAGACCAGGGAGCCTTCTGCCTTCTCTCGCGCTCTGTCGCTCTCTTTCCTCTGACTAACACGAACCCATGCTAGAACCTTGCGGCTGCTGGCCCCCTGTGTGAAACAGAGACCGCCCTGCCGCCCAAGTCTGATCCGAGCCCTTCTAGCGGGACGCCCTCGTGGCCCAACAGCAGGGGACGGGGACCTCTTCCATTTGTGGGGAAGCGACTGCAAGGTGAAGAAAAAAAATGTCGGCGCGAAGGAAGAAAGAAAAAAAGAACACCGACCCTTGTCAACCAACCATCCAGCCATCCATCGTCTTCTCAACACCAAGAACCCTCCCAAAAAAAAAGTCTGATGAACCGAAGCCAGCCGCCGCAGCACCGCTCGCTAACACCGACTGGGCCTCGCGTCCACCCAGCCGGATATTTTACATACGCACACCCACTACACAGTAGGTATATGACACACAATACAACACACCACAGGGACCACGATGCAGTTTCGGGATTGTCTCCCCCAGCTCACCGTTTCCTCGAGAGCCACCCCGTCAATTCGTCAATGCATTGCATCCCCCGTCATGTCTGGCCCAATGAGCGCCGTCTTGAGGTCAGCTGGACCAGCATTTCCCCTTTCCCACCCCAACCCTCATTCTATTCCCCAGCAGCTGTGACATGTGCGATGCACTACGAGGCAAGGTGAGGCGCAAGTAACCACGGGGCCTGGCTGCCTGCCAGCTAGCTTCCTGGGTAGGCCCATCCCATTCCACCGCCGCCCGGAGATGCTCCTGTCCGCATCTGCCGCCTGCCGCCTGCCGCCTGTCGCCTGCCGCCTGCCGCCTGTCGCCTGCCGCCGTCCGGTTCGCACCAATTACCCCAGAAAATGATCTGTGCACGCCTCCCCCCCCTTCTTCGCATTCGCCGAAACACACACACCCACCACCCAGCCGCTGGGACCCGGCGCGAGAGAGGGCAGCTTGCTCTGTCCTTCTGGTGTTGCTCGCTGCATGGCTTCCCAAGCTTAGCTAGGTACCTCCCTTAGGCAAGGTAGGTAGGTACCTAACCAGACGTCGCGGCCGACGGCAAACTTTAGGCAGGTACCTACCTTAGCTGGATAACCCCCGAAAGCGTCATATGCATGGCCCTCATCGTGCCCCTGCCTACCGCCCCGAGTCTAGAACTCTCCCCCTCCCTATACGAACCCTGGGAATCCGAACCAACACCGCTGCGCTCGGCCGGGGTGGCACTCAGCTTTTGCCAAATGACCGACCCCTCGCGCTCGCTTCCGCTCCGCCCACGACGCACGCTCACATGACCACCTCTCTCCGCCCCTGAGCAGAAGAACACCCCGGCAACCACGGCCTCCTCGACAAAGTCGTCCAAAAACGGCAGCGCGGCAGATCAACACCAACACCAACACAGGCCAGGGTCACTTGGTCCTCACAGTCACGCGGTTATCGTGTTGAAGGGCTACAGTTGATGGGCCCCACGATGACGTCCCTTTCTTTGCATTTTTGGGCACATTGTTCTTCATGTCTTGTTTTGCACACGCAACGTACACCTCAAGTCATCCCGTGGGAACCGGACCATTGGGCCCACACGACAGGTTTTGTCGTCGCTTGTCTCCTGTCTGACTGACTTCACGTAAAACCAAAGAAAAAAAAAACCTTCCGAATGCTACCCCCGTCTGGGTCATGTCAGGATTTCCCCCACCGTCGCCGCCGCAACGTACTCACATTCGCGTAACCCTAACGCCTGGTATGATATGCGGTGGAGGAGGAGGACGTCTCCTCTTCCCCGTCCAAGTCCAAGGAATGTTCTTTCCCAAACGCCCAAGGAGAAAAAGACGAAAACAGCAGAAAGAAAAAAAGCACGAGACAAAGTCATATGAGGTAAAACATGTCGTGCTGGTGATGACGATGATGGTAGTAGCGATAACGGTACTTGATGATGCTGGTTTTTGGAATGTGTCTGGTTTCGTCGGATAACTCTGCTGTGCGCGCCAGATTCACAGTCTCTACCTGCCGTTGACCTTCTTGCCCGCGGCAGTCAGACGCTTCTTGCACGGCTCGCAGAACCATTTCGCTGTCGAAAACTGTCAGCAATCGCGTCAAGCGGAGAATGAAACGGAGCCACACTGCCAGGAGGCAGATGCAGGTCGTCAGAAGGCGCAGGACTGGGGACAAGAGTAACTCACCGTTTCCCTTGGGCGCCACCTTCAACCCCACGCACTCGAGATGGAACCACTCGCGCTCGCACGTGTCGGCGTCGCAAGCCACCATCTCGCCGTAGCTCACGCTATTGCAGTAGCAGTATCGCGGCTCGTCCGCGTCAATGTCGCCCTCCTCTTCATCGCCCGGTGCGGCGGCAGCACCGACGCCGACGCCGCCGCTCCCGTTCCTGGCGCCCTCCTCTATGGACCGCGCCGTCTGCGCCGCCTGCACCGTCGTAGTCGAGGTGCTCTTCTTGCGCTTGCCTGCGTCCTTGCCGTCTGCGTTGCGCGACGTACGCGAGCGCACGGCGGCGTCAGGGAAGTTCGGCAACGCTGGTGTCGATGGTTTGCTGGCGCGGCCGCTCTTTGTCACGGTGGCCGCGGTGGCTGTCTGCGACACAGGCTCGCTCTTGCGGTCCATCTCCTCTTGTTTCGGTACTGTGGGCAGTTCCTTCTTGCTCGTGGCGGGGGTGCTCGCGACCGACAGAGGCTCGACGGGCTCGGCGTCCTTCATAACCGTGTCGGGCTTGGCTGGCGCAGTCGTCGTCTCCTTTGTTGGCTTGGGTTCGGGCACCCCCGGCCGCGGCCAATTGGGCGTCAGTGGGAGGTCTGGCGTGCCCTGCGTTACGCCGTTCGGTTTGTTGGACGCAGAGGATGACGGTCTCAACTTGTTGGCATCTGCTGTTGATTGTATAGAGTTTTGTCTTGCGCGGGCGGCGACCAGGGCCTTGACAGGCAAAGGGACTGGAGAGCCACGAGGCAGCTTGGCGTCTGGAAACGCTCCAATGACGGGCGATGATGTAGCTGAAGTTGGATTGCCTGTGACACCGTTCCTGCTGCGACAAAAAGTGTCAGTGTGCGAATATTACCAAGGGTGAGTAGATAGATAGAAGGTACCTTTTCTTTGCCTGGCCGCTGCCACTCGGCAGCGCCTTTCTCTTCTTGGGTCCTTCGGGCGCCGGCGTACCCCTGGGGCTTGAGGTCTTGGTCTTGGGCGCATCGGTCCCGAACACACCAGCCAAGGCCCGATAAGCCGGTCGCGGTTGCGGCCGCCGGCTTCTCGACCCCTCGTCGATTAGGCTGAGCTGCTGTGCCGTTGGTTGCGCCATTGGTCGTAACGCCCAGGCCCGCGCCAGAGGCAGCGTCGGCCGCCGTCTTACGCGCCTTGGCTCCCTTTTTCGTAGTTTCTGTCTTGCCGCGACCTTCGTTGTCGTCGAGATCCATTTCGTGATTCTGTGTCTTCAGGTTCTTCTTCGCCTGGACGGCCTGCTTCCGGGCGTCGCTCCTGGCGGCCGCCTCGTCCGCCAGCGCCTGGGCAGCAGCCGATATGGCGGCAGCGCCCTCGCGCCGTGAGCGCTCGGCGTGGGCGGCCTTGTTGCCGGCGCGGTTTTCGGGGTACGCCCAATGCGTGGTGCTCCCCCACTTGGCCTCGTCGCTGAACTCGTTCTCGACGTGTGGCCAGACCTCGTCGATGCGGGCGAGCTGTTTCTGCAGGGCGTCGTTGGCCGTCGAGATGACGTGGTTCTTCTCCTCGAGCGACCCCAGCATCTCTTGTATCTTGATGGCCACCTGCTGGTACAGCTGGCGACGGGGGTCGGGGTTGGGGCCGCCGGAAGCGGAGGGCGCGTGGGAGTCGGCGACGGAGGGGGCGGGCGGCACCTGCGTGCTGTGCGCCACACCGGTCGAGCTGTTCTGCGCGCTCATGGTCGCGGATACCGGGGCGAGCGAGGTGGTCGCCTCGTTGGGCGCTGGGGGCTGCGCGGCGGCGACGGGCGCCATGGCCGCGTCGACGAGGTTGAACAGGGTTTCCTCTGGGGCAAAGATTTTGGCATCGACCTCCTTGAGCAGCGTGAAATGGCGAACGAGCTCTTTCGGCAGGGCGGTGATCGCATCGGCGAAATGTGTGACGGCGGGGAAGATGTCGATGGGCTGATCAGAGCTGGAAGCGCCGGGCAGAGAGTCCCGTCCGCCGATCGGCCCTCGCAGATTTGAGACGCGCGACGGGTTGGTTCGAGCCTGTCGGACGGGCTGGGACCGCCTGCTCGACGGCCCATCCACTGACGGGGGCTTCGCCGACTTCATGATCGGACTGCAGGGGAGGAGAAGGGCAGGTGTGGTTCGGGATGGTGTTGTCGAGAGGTAGGCCAAGGAAGCCAGAGGAGGTTTGTGTTGAAAGTCGTGCGAGTTGTGGGAGAACTCTAAAGAGGGCCTCCTGGGGGCGGAATGCGACGGGAGAGCAGAGTTGGAAGCTTGATTGAAATGATTCAGGACATTGTAATGCGTTTGGGATAGTCAAATCGTGTGGAGATGTTGGAGGTCGGTGGGCAGAACGCGAGTGAAAGCGAGCGTGTGAGGTGGTTGAGGTGGGAGATCGAGAGAGTGACAACTTGGGGGGGCCCTGCCGCCGCCTACCACTGATTTCCTGCGCTGTTGCTCTCTGGCTTTGGGCGGAGAAATCCCGTCACGGGCCAGGAACCAGTGAGGAGCCGGCCTGAGGCCCCCAGAGGCTCCAGTGGGAGCTCCTCCCCCTCGGCTCACACCAGCCACACCTCTTATCGGCATCGCATCTACAATCGATAAGCCTTTTTTGCCAGTGTCGTCATGGGCGCTGGTCACGTTGCATTCTGGCCTGGATCACTCGTTTGCCTTTATCTGGCTGCTGGGCTGGACAATGACAATGGCGACAACTTGACATTGAACTCTGGCTTTGACTTTTCCTCACAGCAACGACGTGAAGCGAACAATTTGGAGGCGCGATGCACGGCCACTCACAAAGTGAAGCATGATAAGAAAGTGCACCCAGATAAGCAAACCCACCCCTGACTTTGCACAGCCATTCGGTTCCTCAGAGTACCTACTTAGGTACCCAGGCAGTGTTCTCGTAAGAAGGACGACACCAAAAAGAGAATCTCAAAATATAAAATGAGTATGAGTATGAAATCTGCCTGGTATCTTCCGTCCCAACGTCTAGTACTAATTACAGTAGCCCAACCGTAAAACCTCCATTAGCCAACCCTTACCCAGGCGCCAGGCCAGGTCCTGCATTGGAGGGTCAAGTCTCGAATCAAGAAATGCCCACCCACATGACGCGCGCGCCAAGCCAAGGACTACGCCGTCTTGACCGCTTTCCGGGCCCTCTTCTTCTCGGGTCGCTCTTCACGGTCCATCTGCTTTTGCCTCCACTGCCACTCCAACAGCACGGGCAGCCAGTGCTGCAGATCAAACTCAGGCCACAGACACTTGAGGAAGAAGATCTGTGTGTCCTGGTGAGCCTGCCAAAGCATAAAGTCACTCAACCTCTCGACGCCACTAGTGCGGACAAAAATGTCGAGCGGGGGGTCTCCAGCCGTATACATGTGGTTGTTGAGCGTCTCAGCGGTAATCGTCTCGGGGTTCTTGAGCAAGGATTGACCGGGTTCGTGGTGTGTGATGTGCGGCGGTGATGGGGAGCCGGGAGGCAGTGTCGCTGATGACGCCGTATCGTCATCGGCGACAGACCGCGAGGATGGTGTAGGTGATGAAGGAATAGGCGTGATCTCGTGAACCGCAGACCAGTCCTTCTGATCCTTCTCATCCAGCTGCTTCGAGAGGATCTTCTGCGTGATGCGGGAAGCAGGGAATGCCGTAAATTTGGGCTCGGGAGGCGTCATGTAGTCCTCTACCGTAGATCGAATCGCGGTAGCCATCTCTTCCCGCGATGTGTAGGGAAGACAAATGTTGAGAGCGTTCCTGGCGTCGTCAGTATCTCGCACGATATTCGTGCAGCTTGACGGTCACTCACTTCTTGTTGTTCTTGGTCATCTCCACCGCCCTATCTACAACCTCGAGGACGTCCTCGCGTAGTAGATCCCTCTGTCCAAGAACCCTGACAGCAGCGCCGTACTTGTCAAGAAGGTCGCCGTGATGCGTCAGTTGCTCCAGCTTCACCTTGGCCAGTTCCATGAGGCCATCCACTTCGTATTGGGGTCGGTTAAAGTTCTCGATGCTGAAGGCGTACACAGTCACAACCTTGACGCCAGACTTGTAACAAATTTCGAGGACCTGGTAAATGATGAGCAGTTGGTCAAGAAGAATTGCCGGATTGCCATACGTACCCTTGCTAGCGCTTCGAAGCCGTGGTGATGGCCCTCAATGGTTTCCATCCGTTTCCCTCGTGCATAGCGCCTGTTGCCATCCATCTCGAATGCCACATGTTGCGGGACGGGGCCCTGTTTCAGCGCCCCGATCAACAGCTCTCTAAGCTGGTTGATGGCCCATTCGGACGGCGGGGAGCGTAGCAGCCACTTGCTGATGTTCTGGAAGATCTCGGCCATGTCGCAGCGGATGACAGAAAGTTTGTTGAGCTTCGGCGACCCTAGTTGTCTTGGTTCGTTGAGGCACTCGGAGGGCTGTATGGATAGATTGGTATGTAAGGTAGTCACACAGACAAAAAGTACAGTATTAAGAGATGACGCTGATGCGAGTGGTGTGTGGACGGAAGGAAAAGAAGCAAGTGGCAGCCGAACCAGCTTAAAGTCGGCCTTCCAAGCTATCACGAGTGTCAGAAACAAGACACTTGCGTATTGGCGGCGAGAGTGGCCTGCGCCGCGCCTGGTTACGTACCCACCATCCACCACGAGCCGAGCCTTCGAAGAACACGTCAAGCGCCAATCAGTAAGCTCCAATGCGCCACACTGACCAGTGGCCCTCCCCTGTGACGCAACTCATTCTCATTGGCTCTAAACTCCCGTAGAGGGGGTTTCCTTCGGATTGGCCTTCGGGTTGTCCTTTGAAGATCATCCATGTGGCATCATTGACGGGTCGAGCTCCAACATGCCCAGTTGATCATGCTGCTGCACTGCCTGACTGCCTATTCTTCACCTTTACCAAAGTAGGCAACCTCAATCGAAGCTTTGCGGATTCGGCCCTCAGCGCCAACGAGTCAGCCAAGCCGACGAGCGCCCTACGACGACGACGACAATCGCCGGTGCCTGACCCACTGCCACACACGATGCGATCATAAGTGCCAACGAACAGCCCCCCCGCCACTTCGCCCATCATGTCGTTCACGAATGCGCCCGTGACGCGCGCCCTGGTCATTGGCCTTGTGTCGAGCTCCGTCGTCGCGAGTCTGTTTGATGTCAAGCATTACTTCTACATTCTCGTGGACTCGCATTTCTGGCAGTACCGTCAATTCTGGCGAATGCTGAGCTATCAGCTATGCTACACAAACTCGAGCGAGGCCTTGTTTGCTTCCATGACCCTCTATCAACTGAGGATTCTTGAGCAGGTCTGGGGATCGAGAAAATACGCCGTAGGTTTTATACCGCCCTGATGACGGACCGGGTGCTGATATGTTTGCCTCACAGTCCTTCATTGTCGTCTCTGGCCTCCTCACAGCCGTCATCCCGCCACTGCTTCTGACAGTTTTCCTTCGGCCGCTGACAGCGGGTCTTTTCAACTACATGCCGGCTGGTCCGACCCCCATCATCTTCGCCATACTCGCCCAATACCATGCCATTATCCCGCACATCTATCGATATCGGGTCGCTACATCGTCCGCCAACCCCTCGAGCGACTCTTTCACGGGCATCACCTTGTCAGACAAGTCGTACAAGTACGCGCTCGCCCTACAGCTGGCCCTGTTCCAGTGGCCGGGTTCGGTTCTCGGTGCGCTGGTGGGATGGGTCGTTGGACACTCCTGGAGGAGCGATTTCCTCCCTAGTGCCATGACGAGGTGGCGCGTGCCCGGGTGGCTCGTAGGCATCAGAGCACAGAGGAGGCGCGACGAGTTTGAAGGGCTGAGGAGGAGGTTGGAGGGCGAAAACACATCGGCCACGGCCTCGGGGGTCCAGGCTCCGGTCGAGGGAGGAGAGGGAAGGCAGAGGACTGTTCCTCAGGAGATGCAGGACCAGCTGCGAGGTTTCATGTAGGTTTTGCAGCCAGACAGACAAAAAAACTTCAGACCAAAAAATTAAGCCAGCCACAACAGCCCGGCACGTTTTGAAAAGCCTCTCTTGCATGGCCTTCGTTAGAGTTGAGCCTCACAGTCACGTCTTGATATCGACTATTGATCCCATATATCCCGGCCCCGCTTATTCCGACCCTAGCCCAGGGCCCTGGGTTGACCTGAGATTGCGATCGAAAGGAGGTGCCACAGCGTCCATTGCCGCATGCATGGCTTGTGAACCCTCTCCAAATTCGAGGCCACCCATCTCCTTCGCGCATTGCGCGCCTCTTGCTGACAGTCGGTGTGCCAGACGCTGACAGGATTTCCTTTCTCAAGTTAAACACGCCACTCAACTGGGACATCCTCCAGCGCAGGCCAAGGCGACACAGAGGGGGCTAGCCAAAAATACAGGGGCCGTAGCGCGACTGGCACTGGCCTCGAACAGGTGGACGCGCCTGATATGGCGGGTGCGCGTGGCGGAGAGACCCCAGCCACCTTTGCCACCCCAGGCGCTGAAAGGAAGACGTGGGCGGGCCTCCCAAAGGGGCATAGCGCCTGGAGCGAGCAAATGCGCATCACCAGATGCGCCTGCAAGGGGTTCACCGTAGGTAAGGTACCGCAGATCCGCCCTTAGCCCTCTCCTCCCAACCAATGCCACCCTGCCTAGTGTCTATGCCTGCCGCTGATGGCATCGCAGCCACTTCTTTTTCTCTTTTTCTTTTCACGACTCGACAATCAGGTGTGTAGGCTCGACGAACCCGACGACCTTCGCCACGACATCCCTCGACGAACATCTCGACTCCCCGAGTCCCAGTGGGCCTTTGTGCTGGAACCCGCTGCAGCCAGCCGTGAACCAACCCCTAATCGAGCGCCCCCACGCACGCGACAACTACATCGAGTCCGACGTCCTCGACGAACCCTCCCCTTTGTCTCCTGCGCAACCTGAGCGAGTCTGCTTGGAGGATGCTGTGAGCTGGGCAACTGCTGTGCGGATAGTCACCAGCTATGGACCGGTCTTCGCCAGGAAGAGACCCCTATGGGTATGCGCCGGGGAGGCTCTCCCCAGCCCAGTACCAGCAGCCACTGGGCATCAACGGCAAGACGCTGGTCGATGGATACGCCAGGGATATGGCGAGTACTTCCAGAGGGGATGAGCCCCGTTCTAGTCCGGTTCGTGGTATTCCGTGGCAGGCCTCACATCAGGGGCGCTTACTGACACTTTGTGCAGCTCAACCCTGGACAGATCCAGAGTTCTGCGCTCGTAGACCTCAAAGACCCGATACAGGTGCATCTTCTGACGGAAACGGCATTGACGGACAGCAAATCCTACGAGATTCTTTCGCAGGAAGAGGTGGATGGACTCAAGAAACAGGTTCAGACGTTGACGCAACGGATCCAACAGGCCCGAACGAATCTAACCATTCAGACGAAATATCGGGATGCCGCGATATCCATGTCCAAGCTTTATTCCACCGGCAGGCAAGATGGAAATAGGAGGAAGAGCTTGCTCAACCGATACAGCGGAGGAGACTCGGCTCGCGAGGCCGAGGCGGAAAGACAGGCGAGCGAGAGGAAATGCGAGGAGCTGGCCACCGAACTTTGGAACCTCGAGAAGAGCCTCGTGGAACCCCGACAGCGGCTGCTTCAGCACACGGCTGCCATTCTCCAGTTGACGCACAAGGCATCAAAGAAGGCCGCGCCGCGGAACATGGGGCCGCCTGCCAATGGCATACCGGGGAGTCCTGAGAGTCTCTATGCCTTTTCGAACGGTCGCAACAGCATGGAGCCTGGCGACGACATGTACTTTAACGATCAAGGCCTCTACCAGAGCCTCGATGACGGGACCCTCAGTCGAGGGATGGGCTCCATCCCCATCGAGCCACCACTGAAGTCCGCCAACCGCGAGCAGAATGCCCAGGCACAGGCAGAAATCGAGCGCCTTCAGGGCGAAACCGCGCAGAGACGAGCCGAAAATGAACGCCTTCGAGTCGAGTACGAGCAGGCGCAAGCTGAGATTGATCGCCTCAGAAGCGACAACTCTCAGTTCCTCTCGGAGAATGAACGCCTGCGCTATGAAGTATCCGAAGCTCAGGCTGGGAGCGAAGAGAATGTGCAAGCACGGGGGCAGGGTGATCAGCTGCGGCATGAAAACAACCAGCTCCGCGCTCAGACTGATGCCCTGGCGCAAGAACTTGATGCCTGGCGCCAGGAAGACTCTCAGCGCCTTCAATCGATATCGAGCACGGAGCAGAGGCTCGAAACGCTGAACCGCTCCTTGCGGGACGTCATCGTCAAGCTTAACCCAGCCAAGAACGGCGACTACCAGGCCCCGCCGTCAGGCGCTTCTGCCGGATCTGAGAGGTCTCTGCAGGGTTCTGCGACCCTCGACAGTCACTTTGCCTATCTCGAGCGAGGCCTGCGGACGGTCCAGGAGGACCAGGAATTCAAAACGTCGCAAAGCTTAGAAGAGGCCGAATCAGCAGCTGCTACCGCGTCTATAGCACTGGCCCGCGCGGAAATCAGGGTCGACAACCTCAACTCTCAGCTTTGCGACCTGATGCTGTCTGTCGATTCCAACTACCCAACTCCTCCTGATGCGACCAACTCGGAGCTCGATGATCAGTTTGACTACGCCGATCGATCGCTCCAGGCCCTCGAAACGCAGCTGAGCCGCGTCGATCAACTTACCACCAACAGCGAAACGAGGAAGAGAGAGGGCGACCAGTCTGAAGCCGTGCTTATGGGGCTATGGGACATAATTCAGAGCGGCTTCGCAGATATCCAGCAGCGCAAGGACCAGCGGCGTAAGATGAGGGCGGAGCAGGGTCTGGAGCCCGATGAAGATGATGTGTCGGGAGATGAGGGCATGGACGTCAACGAACCTTATTCCCTGTCTGCCTTCTCGACCAAGGTCCAGTGGCTTTATGCTCAAGCTACAAAGCTCAAGGACCAAAAGTCGGTTCTGAAGAGGCAGATCAAACAGCAACGCGAGCTGAACAACAAGTCGGATTCGGCCAAGGACGAAGAGCTGCGGTCGAAGCAGGACGAGATCGATCAGATCAGAGCCTTGCTCGAAAGCTCGGGGCAAGAGGCGAACAAGGCCCAGACACTGCTCTCGCAGGCGTTGCAGGACGTTGAAGATGCCAACAACGCACGCTCCGCCAATGATGCCAGCACGGCTCAGTTTAGGCAACAGCTTGAGGAACGCGATGCCAGGATTGCGGCGCTGGAGGCGGAAAGCAGGTCTGTCCAGACAAGAATGGCCGATGTCAGCTCGACGGTACAGGACGCGGAATCGAAGCTCAACCAGGCCATGGAGGACGTCGCGCTTCTCACCACCAAGTTGGCAGATGCCGAGCGACTCGCCGAGGAGAAGCAGCAAGAAGCTGAAGCCAAGTCAAAGGAGGCCAAGGATCAACAAGAGGAGATGGACAAGATGAACGAGATGATGGTCGGCCTCAAGACGGAACTCACCTTTGCCCAGGCTGAGCTCGACGGCGCTTACGGCTCTCGTAAGGAGAGGGCTGCCGCTGTCGCCGCTGTCAAGAGCACGGTCGAGGTCGAGCAGCTGAAGACGGAGGTGGAGCGTCTCAAGGATGAGCTGGCGTCGACGCTCAAGGAGCTTGAAGGCATTACGGCCGAGACTATCGGCGCCGAGCGCGAGAAGCTCGATGTCGAGGGTCGCCTTGACGACGCCCTGGCCGCTCGCGCAAGCCTCGAGTTTGAGATGGCGAGTCTACGCGACCAACTCGAGGGCGAGATGCGCAACGCCAGAGACAAGGTTAGCAGACTGCAGGAGGAGCTCGACGCTGAGAGGCTCAAGGCAGTACCTGGCGCTGGTGCAGGGGCTCGCCCCGGAGCCGGCGCGTCGATGCTGAGCGAGCAGTTCAGGGCGACGATGAAGCAGGAGAGAAAGAAATTCCAGGAGGATATTCGGGTAAGCACACTCCAGCCACGTAGATTTTGGTCGCGATGGAAGCTAATCAGTCCCGCAGGAGGAGCAGGCGAAGAGGCGAAGACTCGAAGAAGAGCTCCAGAAGCTACGCAAGGCGGTCGGCCCTGGCAAGAGCCCTCTCAGCCCGAGATAGCGTCTCAGTACCTAGAGCTCTCGCCGCGTAGCTCATCCGTCAAAGTCGATGCGCACGTGCTGTACTACGACCAAACCTGTATACGAGATTTTCTTTGGATATATACTAGTTCTCTTGGGGTCCTCCGCCTTTTTCTTCTTCTGGCTGGTTGGGAATCTTGCATAGCGGGGGGTTCGGAAAGGTTGAGCCACTGGTGAGTGTTCTCTTCTGGTGCCTGCTCTGGATTTTGTATTATGAGTGAAGATGTAGATCAGATGGGTAGGGGATGATGGGTTATGAATAAGCTTGAACGTGCGCGCCGTTTACAAATGTGATTGCTTGGTCTCTTGCTTCATGTCCGGGAGGCCTCATCCGTGGAAATCCAATGAATGGTCAGGGAAGAGGGAAGAGCAGATGACTGAACGTCAGCTATTGGGCGCCTGTTCCATTGGGCGAGCGTTCTCGTGCATGGCTCAGCCTGACCTGTCGTGGATGAAAATGGAACGAGCCATTTCCACTCCTCGTTCTGCACTTTGTTTCGACATCTTACAAGGTCGCCTCGACAGAAAACGTGATCGACCGATGTTTCGAGTACTCTACGTTCTGGTGTACGAATCTCAACGCTACACCTTCCAAACTCAGTTCTGATCCCACACTTGCTCCAGTTCGTAGGTACTTGACCAGCCCTACAAATTGCTCAGCCAGGCTCTGACTGTTGCGCATAATATGGCAGAACCAATCGGGCTCGGTGCCAGCGTGCTCGCCTTCGTTACCTTGACTCTGAAGTCCGCCAAGGCGATTCACGACGTTCTCTCTGCGGTCAGGGAAGATCCGGACAGCGTACGCCGCCTCACGAGCGAGGTGACTTTTATGGAATCTATCCTCAGGCGGTTATCAAACTTCACAAGCCTGCAAATCCAAACCATCCCAGCGTCTGACGCTGAAGCCCTCGAAAATCTCTTGAAAGGATGCTTTGATGATCTATCAAGCATCTCTAGAGACCTTCAAGCTTTCGTCGTATTTCCCAAGATAAACACTGTGCGGCGTGCTTGGAAACGGCTCCGCGCTGCCAACAACGAGACGGATATAGTTCGCATGACAGACATGCTGAGGGGGCAGGCGTCCAAACTCCAACTCTACCTGACCATTATCCAAACCGAAACAGCGGCTGCCGAGTCAGCTAGTCGAACAGCAGAAGCGGCAGTTCAGGCCATGCGAGGTGATCAGCACACGGCCTCTTTGGCCCAGATTGTGGGGATGCTCACGGGCCTGCGCCCCCTGACAACATGTGTTGACCAGAGCGAAATCGTCGAAAGACTCGCGAGGCTTGCAATGGAGGATACGCGAACGGTTGAAGTCGATGACTACGAAAGCATCGTCGCCGACGTGCAGGAGCTTTTGAAGGCCACCTTGGACGAGAAGACGCCGCTGCAAGAGCCTGAAAAGAACACTTCGTGGCGAAAGGCGCTTGCTCCTGGCGAGTTTTCCGGGGATGTTGGGCGCTTTCGAAAGCTGTTCGCTTTGGCTTCGCGTCTCAGCATCAACGGTGGGTTTCACTATACTAACTTTAGGGAGCTCATGAAATCGACACACGGCAAATGCTCGCTTTCTAGTCAGGAGTATACACAAACCATCAACCTCAACAGTGGCGCGATGTCGCTCTCCTTCTTGACTACCAAGAGTCGGTCCTCAGACTCTGCTTCCGAAACCTTCTCAGTGACAAATAGGTTGAGCTACACAAGCTTCAACGCACGCCTCACTTTCCGACCACATCGCACGCGGTGCGTCATCACAGCAATAGTGTCAATGATTCGCGCACCTGGTCTCGACGCTTCCTTGCCTCCACGACTAATGGTCAGCCCTATTATACCCAGAGGTTCGCTTGTCTTCCAATTGGTTCAAAAGGGCAGCCTTGGTGAGCTCAAGTCACTGTTGGCCAGTGGCCAGGCCAACGTCCGGTCCCAGGACGAGGATGGTCGTACTTTACTACATGTGGGTACCATGACTGCTTTGCCTTTTGAGTCTTGAAGATGCATCTCTGATTTATTCTAGTATGCGATGCGACGTAGAGTGATGGACCTCGAAGTTTCACGATTCCTCATTGATTGTGGGCTCGATACCAACGCTACTCCAACGAAGCTCGAATTCGCGTAAGACCAACTTGCTGAAGATTGCTAAGACGCCCAGATTCTAGATGCTTGACACTTTACAAGTTCTCCGCTCTACGAATTGCTCAGGCTGCACACCCGCGAAACGGCTCCAGACGTCGTCTACGCCAATGCTAAGCTTCTGCTAGAAGGAGGCGCGGACACATTTTTAGCACAAGACACTTTAAGCCTCGTCTATAAGGCAATACGCCTTGGTCGTGGTGACATTCTTCGCAACATGGCGACCAAGTGGGTCTATTTTCCCACGGATTTTGCTAAATCTCGTGGGCGCGGATTACTGGAGACCGCTATCAATCCCAGCAAGATTAAACTGAAGAATCGCCCACATATTGCCATTGAGATCTTGGCCCCTATCCTTGACATGGGCGCTTCTGTCCACGATCGCTCCCGCTACCGGTCCGGGTGGAGCTGCTTGCATCTTGCGGTCCACTTTGCAGCCTTCTGGGGAAGCAACGTTGAACGTAACGCGATCATCTATTTAGTCCGACGGGGTGCGGACGTACGTGCCAAATGCGACCGTGGCACCAGTGTGACGGACGTTGCAAACGTTACAAAAGGGAGCATGAGGGCGGGAAGCTATACTCGGGACCTCTGGGATGCCGTGCTCGCCGCGTGCGGGTATGACCTCCACGAGTTTCCCAGAGACTATCCATATCGCCCACGATGGGGATCTGGGCCGGGAAAAAGCTACGGCATGAGCGATCTTCAGAGGTTGTGGAAAGGCAAGGAGTATCTTTGCCCGTACTCTTTTTGCTCTGAGTGCCCGTCGTCGGGAATCGATTACGACCATGAGTTGCGTCACATCTTACAAGATGAGAGTCCTTGGGTGGGCGAGCGTCAGAAGGCGCTGGCGGAGTCACGGCATAGGGAGCTAGTTACGGACTAAGGGCTACGAGAGCGTGTATACAAGGACCACGGAGGGCCAAAATTCAGATGTATTCGTATCCCATGCGGCGAGGATGAAGAACGGCTGTGACCTTGTCGAACCCCGGCGATTGGCCCTTACTGCCGAGCTCGCCTCCCCCCTAAGCAGAGTGACAGGTGCGCATTAAGCCAACTTTCCAGCTTTATATATACGATACTGCAGGGAGCTGACATGGTGTCTACCGCTCCAAGTCCTACCCCCTCTGTCATTCCGTCGCCGCCTGGAGGTGCCCGCACACCAAATTACCCCAGGGTCGCACAACACCTCGCCGCAGGTCACTACACGCAACGCTGGTGAGCTAGATGGAGTCAAGTTTGGGTTGGGGTTTAACGCAGGGCCAGACGATCTGGCGTGGGTGGTGGGGTCATGCGACGTGGAATGCCGCCGGACGGGCGTTTTGGGAAAATGCATGGCGCCCACACGGACCAAGGGTCCCGGTCGGGTCCGGCGGTTCACATTGGCGATTGCCCATGGTGGCTGCGACGCTGCACGACCAGAGTGCCCTCTCTCTGCCTTATTACTACCAAGGGTGCGGGTGCGTCGACGGCGGGGGGGCAGAAACTTGCTCAAACGGACTCACGCCGGTTCTAGGCCCGCGACAGAGCTGCCTCAGCTTCCCAGCCCTCAAACCCTGGTGTCTTTTTCATGCTTATTCCTCATGTTTTCACATGACTTGGTCATCTTGTACCATTTGTGCCGAGTCCCATTGGTCAGAGAGGTGGTGAGCAGAATACCTCCATGGTCTCGGCAAGCCTCCAACACGGAGGTGAACCCCCGTAGTACCTCGAGGTATAAAGTCCTGGGAGGATTCTCTTCGGCAAGGGGTCGGAATCCCGGTTGTTTGGTTCCCTCATGCACCTTTGTTCGTTGGGACTTGAGCGTGGTCTTCACGTGGCTATCAAGATCTCATCTGGAACATACCGAATCTTAAAATCATGGTCTCACTTCGCACAGCCCTCGGTCTGGCCGTTTGGCTGACCGCCACTAATGCCCAGAGCTCTGGCCGGCCCGGACATGGCATGATTGGTCTTGGTATCCCCATGTACGAGCCCGCGTGCGCCCATGCCTGCCGCGGAGGCAGTCCCCGGGCCGCCATCGACTGCGGCAACGGCGAGGAACATGCTGCAGGCCATCACGGAGGTGTAGCTGTGACACCAGGTACGATGCCATGAAAGAGCACCGGTCAATGACTCGAAGTGTCTGTAGGCCATAGCTAACATGTGGACAGAATGCATGGCCACCAGCGAGCCGTGGCTGAAGACAGTGGCATACTGCATCTACCAGCATTGCAAGGACATTAACAACTCGACGCTCGAGCGGTACTGGCAGACTGAGCTGATCAGCAGGCATGACGAGCCACAAGCAAAGTGGTCGTACCAAGAGTCGTTGCACCACGTTCTCGAAGGCGACGTTCCTACCGAGGTGTTGCAGGAAGACGGCGTTCTCAACAGGACGGTCCTCGTCGATGAAGAGTCTTATATCGCCACGGCAAATGGAAACACTGGTTTTGGCAACACCGAAAGGTGGCACGTCAACTTCAAGTAAGCGTTCGCTAGTCCTCTGATATCCTTAGCCATGTTGGGTAGTTGTATGAGGTAAAGTTGACCAAGAAGGCCTCGCTGACTCTTCATGTCACTAGCCTTATCATCCTCCTCACTGGTGCCGGAATCCCCATTCTCTGCTCGCTCCTGAGGTTTGTTCCGTTTCCCGAGTCCGTCGTCAGCAAGTTCTACGCCTACATCATCGAGCCTCCTGTCCTCGGATCCAGTCACAATGTCCCTGTACTCAAGAACTTGGCCATAGTTCCCACAAGAGGGCAGGCTCTGTTCCTTGTGTACATCTCTGTCATCAACATTATCGGGTCCTTCGTCATGCTCGACCAAAAGTCGCCCAACTCGTGGTGGGGAAGCAAGCAGGAAGAGTTCTTGTCTCTGTATTCCAACCGCGTGGGCATGCTTTCGTTTGCAAACCTTCCGCTGCTCATCCTCTACGCTGGCCGGAACAACATCCTCTTGTGGATCACCGACTGGTCGCACTCGACATTCCTGCTCCTCCATCGCTGGGTTGCCTTTATCTGCATGCTGGAGGCTGTTCTACACTCTGCTGTGTACCTTGATGTTCATGTGCGAATTTATAAGGATCATACTGAGATTGTAAGCTGCCCATATTGAAAAAGTCGACCATGCTGGAAACTGATAATATCAAGGCTTCGGTGGAGTACTGGTACTGGGGTATCATCGCGACGCTTGCGTTGGTCCTCATTATCCCGTTCTCGGTTCTTCCTCTTCGGTACGTCAACCTTGTGAGGGACAGCACAGCGCGGCCTGACTAAAGACTCATTCTGACGTGAACAGCCAACGGCTGTATGAAATCTTCCACGCCGCTCATATTGTTCTTGCCATCATAACTATTGTTGGATGCTGGTATCATATCATCGTAAGCTTCCCCACGCTCTCCACAGAACAAGCTTTGATCACCAGCTAACATGGACTTACTTAGTGGCGATACGAGCGACAGTGGGGATATGTAAGTCTACCAATGTTCAGAACCACGTGAGTGTCGATGCTGACGTTATCTCAGGAAGCTTGGGTGCTCATGGCCATCGGCATCTGGGTCTTTGACTGGTTCGTGCGTGTCGTCCGCGTCGTGCAGAACGGCGTCAAGACGGCATATGTGACCAAGATTGACGATGACTACCTTCGAGTTGATATTCCGGGCCTCGATTCGCATGGCCATGTTTACCTGTATTTTCCCACACTCAATTGGCGTTTGTGGGAGAGTCACCCGTTCTCCGTCATTGGCAACAGCAACCTCGGCTCCGGATCTGCCGAAATCAACACTGGTGGAAATTCTCCCAAGGATTCCGAAAAGGTCTCACCAAATGTTCACGACGGACCCGTGGATGCCTCGTCTTCATCAGCCTCGTCTCGGGCATCGGTGCGCCACGGCCCCGCCGGAACGACACTGTACATCCGTCTGCAGACGGGCACAACCTCGTCCCTCGCTCAAAAGGCCGGCTCCGCCATCGGTGTTCCCGTGTTGGTTGAGTCGAGCTACGGCAGCGAGTCGCTCTACCCCGGTGACGGCCACGCCCAACCATCTACGGCATACCCCAACCTCATCACCATCGCCGGCGGCGTCGGCATCACTGCCGTGCTTCCCGTCTTGAGCAATGCCCAGTCTCTGAATGCCCCGCTCGGCACCAAGAAACTCTTCTGGGGCGTCCGCGCCAGCTCAACCGGGCTTGTCACCTCGGTGCAGAGCATCATCGCCGCTTCTAGTGTGTCTGCTGAAGAAAAGTTGACGCCTGTCCCTGGTCGCAATCTGACGAGGTGGGGCGACGTTGACGTCGAGGTCACTGTGGGAGAGAGGTTCAACTTCCGGGCGTTGCTGGAGGCGGAGCTGAGCGGGCAGGCTGCCACGGTTGGCACGACGGTCATGGTCTGCGGACCGGCGGGCATGGCTGACGAAGTGAGGAACGTCGTCACTGCGTTGGGTCGGCACGGGGCTGTTGTCCGCTATGTCGAGGAGGCATTTGCTTGGTGATGATGTGCTATCGAGGTAGTTTCACGAATCAAGACGCTTCGGAAATTGCTCGTGCTGTATTTGTCAGATGTGCCAAGAACATATTCGCGTCATGCCCGATTCGAGGGATACCCATGTTGTTTACTCGATTTAGAATTATTCCTAGTAATGGTGTAACGTGACGCGGGCACTTTTTGCTGATACAATCGCTGCTAATTTGAAACAAACCAGTCGTCGTGCTTGAAGGTTCAGCTCTGGAGCAAACGTTGGCCTCGACACCTTAGCTCACATTGAATATATGACTCTTCCATGAACACAGCCACACGTTGTCGCCGCACAGAGTGCAACATTAGGGTGTTCTGACGTCAGGTATCATGTTTGTATGAAAATGTTATTCTAATAGCGTGGGGACTCTTTGGCAGGGCTTCTAGGCTTCATCTCTGTGCTAAAAATGAAGCTCGAATACTCACATGATGGTCTCCATATTGTTTGAGTCATGATAGGTCCCTTTATTTGCCTTGAGGGCTCGGCGGTCCAACAGTTGCCAAACTCCAGACCCGAGGTTCCAGGTCCTCTTGGCTTCGGCCGACTCGGAGTTGCAGATCGAGCACTCAACCTCATTGGTGGGTGCAATCAGTGATCGGCTCCGGCAGTCGTTGATGGAAGAAGCGCTCTCGCATGGCGAAGCCGAAAGTGGTGAAGTATAGCGGACGATTGCTATTACTCATTACTATGTAGGAGACGGGTGGCTGTTATGCGTGATGCGTCTAGTGTTCCAAGAAATTCCCGAAGACCTGGGTCCTTCTAAGAATGGGTGTTCGCAAAGCCGCACATCATGATAAGATCTGAATTAAGAGCAAGGCCACTGACTAGACGTGCTGTGCAGCCCCCTTTTTGGTCACCTAGCAGGACATACGGCAACGCCGGCAGGCAATCTGCCTTATGAGGGCCAGGGTGATGTGGTTTCACAGAGAGCCCTGCCGAGGTCGACCACCAGACAGACAGACGGCCGTGCGCGCGCGGCTGAGCCCGCAAACACTGCAACGCGAACGACTTCTGTGCATACAGGCGCCTGTTGAGAGAGACAAAGCGCGGCCAAATCTGGACGATGAAACGCTTTCGTAAAGTCAAATCTATCTCCCATCTTGGCATCTCTGGCATTTGATAGGCCCCTGCCAAGAGAAGAGGCTCAATGAGGAAAGTTCGCATAAGGCTTGGTGATCTCTGCTTCATGCAGATCGTGCGATAACCGAGTCAAGACCGTTGTAATGCCCAAGGTTCGACTCTGTCGGGCCACTCGGATTCCCCGTGGACGTTGACATCGCGAGGCTTCACGATGCGACCCGTGGGAACTTGGCAATGGCGACCCGGCAGTTGTGTGTCCTTCGGGACGCTCAGAGGCCGTCATGTGCACCTGACCGGCGATCCGAATATCC